CAAAAGTCTTTTTTTCTCTCTCTCTCTGAGACGGAGTCTCGCTCTGTCACCAGGCTGGAGTGCAGTGGTGTGATCCCTGCTTACTGCAGCCTCCACCTCCCGGGTTTAAGCAATTCTCCTGCCTCAGTCTGCTGAGTAGCTGAGACTCAGGTGCGTGCCACCACGCCCAGCTAATTTTTGTACTTTTAGTAGACACAAGGTTTCACCATGTTGGCCAGGATGGTCTCGATCTCTTGACCTCATGATCTGCCCCCCTCAGTCTCCCAAAGTGCAGGGATTACAGGCATGCACCACCGCGCCCAGCCTTTAGAAGTCTTTAGAAGTAGGTAAGGCATGCTTTTTTTGGACAATTCATTCTGTTCCATAGTAAAGTGCAGGCCAATAAAGTTCTCTTATTCCAGCTTCCGGAAGGAGTCCTGAACAAACCTAGGAAATCTGGGTTCCCAGTCACACAGCAATCAGCCAGCTCCGTGGCTGTACACATTCCTTAACCTCACTGGCTGTTAGTCCCATTACCTGTAAAACAGGGGAGTGGGCTGAAGGGATTGGCTTAGAAGATCTTCAAAATCACTTGATGCCTTAAATTGTATTCCATAAATTTTAATTATTTATTTCCCTCTACCATACTACCCTACTTTGGAGGTGTTAATGAGTAATTTAAGGCAGGCTACAAAAAACCTGCAAAGCCTACATAATCTAGAAATCCTGAGAATTAACCATAATTTTAATAGATGAATAGCAGAGTAAAGATAATAGTTCACAGGCTCCTAATACAGTATGACTATTTGACAGCTATCATATTAAGCGGTAATCTCGCAAAGATAAACTGCATAAACCTAAAGAACAGAAGGCATATTGATTATCCAGAAGGTCACAAACATGCTGATATTTTCATGTATCATTGAAACAGATGTTTCTCCAACACCTCTACATTAGCTTTGGTGACTTAGCAGCCATCAACTGGCAGTATGAATTAACATAACCATCTAAGAAATCAAATGGCTTCAAATTCTTGCTGTCACATTAGTGACAATGAACAAATCTAATTATTAAATAATAGCAATTCTCTTGCTGAACCTTAACTAAGACAGCAAAAATGAGACCAAGTGTGACTGATTTTCAACATTATAAGAGTGTGGTGATAATAAGAAGTAATGATTTCAGGATGAAGCAGGAAAAATACTTGTATAGACATCCTATCAAGAATTTTAAAACACTTAATATTTTAGGACAAGCACGCGATGTCAGTCTTTTAATACAAATTTAAGTATCATCAAACTTAAACGACACTCTCTTAATTTTATGTAGATCATACCTTCAAAAAAATAATGTTAAACCAATACAAATATTAAAACACATACACTTAGAAAGTATCCTGAACTTGTGGCATAACAGTTCCTACCATTTAGTGACTCTTCATGTTAATTCATTGTGCTTTGAGGGCATAAAACATTTGGGACCTTGATGAATATGGACTTTTAAAAATAGTACAAAGTGTTGAAATGCTTCAAATAGACAACAGCCATTTTATTCCAACTGGGCCAAATATTTCTCTTTCATGGTTTTGTATTCTTTCATCATTAAATGAAATGGCTGATAAATGAAAAGAGTTATAATTCTGAAATGACTATTAAATGAATTTAAATTATGTAACTAGCTCCTGGGAAACATATTTTATTAAAATATATTCAAAGAGTTTATTTTTAATTGTGTGGGACTATGTAAATATAAATACTGAGAGATTTCATTACAGTATTTCAATCAAAAGCATATCAGCTACTACTAGAGGTAAAAAAATGAACTGAAATATTTTAGTGAATATAATAAAAATGTTCACAAGTACTGACAGTTATTGAGCATTTACTCTAGACCAGGCACTAAGCTAAGAACTGTAGATGTATTCTCTCAATTAAATTAAAATCAAGAAAGGAAAGAAACCCACTTGGCCTGAACAAAATTTACATTAGATTGGTTTGCTCAAGTGAAATTCATTCTACTTTAGAATTATTCTATTAAACATTGCATAACTATCAATATATATGGGGTTCTACCTGTGTGAAATGATGAAAACATAAGAAAGTAATTGAAAAGATAAGGATCAATACGATAATTATAATGACAACAAACGGATTAAACTCTCTAAAAAGGAAATATCAGGTAGGATTTATTAAGTCCATTTGGGAAACAAAAATCTCACAACTATTTTAAATACTTCACATTTAAGGTTGTTCTGCATTACAACGTTTCTGCCATTAAATAACTGGTATAATTACACAAGCAAAATAGTATGTTAAGAAACAATTCTATTGATGCTGACACCATATTTCAAAATACATCCTTGGGAATACCAAACATCTGAGAAACTCTATTCACTTACAGCTCTTTTAGAGAAGCTATTACATACATTCTTCACGTCATTAGCCTGATACCTAGGGTTGAATTAATCTGAAATTTGATTAAAAATTCTCTCCAAGTTTCCCACATAACTTTTATAATCGTAACAGAGGTGGGAAAGAGCCAAACAGATAACACATCTAGACCAGGACCCACTTCAAAGCGCTTCCACACCCTGGACACAGGTGAGCCTTAGTTTATTGCTGAATTTCCAGATGTGTTTCTTCTGCAGGGCTTGTCCAGTCAGATGCAGGCCTAAGAGAGCAATTGTGGCTGAGGTCACAGCAGCTGGGACTGCCAGCTTTACTGGATTGTTAAGATGTTTTTCTGATTTTTCTACAATGCAACAAAACACGAACCACTCAAAAAGGAAAATGCATTCTTTAAGGCAGAGTTAGTACAACGGCTTGGTGACATTTTCCAGCAGTGGAAGCAGCTAGTAATTAAATATCAGCGAGTTAATGACCTGGCTAACTCAATGAGCTTTGATTTGGTACAATTAGGACTCCATCACTGAAGCTACCCCTTTCAGGTTGCACAGCTTCAGGCCCCAGGACAAGTCATCTGGGAAAAACAAACCGGAGAGCCGCAGCATCCACCATTTATGCAAGGCTAGTGCAGTATTGCTTAAGCGTATGCTATCTTCACACTTACCAAGGCCTCTGCTGCACTGCAGTATTTCTGGCCCAGCAAACTCTATCTGATGGTCACCACTGTTTTGACTATGCTAAACCAAACAAGAAGGAGGCATTTATACACACATACAGATGTACACGTCCAGTAACTCTCTTAGCCTCCAACCCTCCAGAAAGGTTACCCTGCCTGTTATAAATTATACCATTCTTTAAAGGAGATTAAGTTGGAGTGGAGATAAGAGCAACAGATCACATCTAAACTACATCTTCAGGATGAGAGAATTAAATGATTGCCAATATAAAGTTAACAGGAGGAGTTATTATTAATAATCAAAAGGAGTTAAGCAGTCCCTTAAGACAACATATTTGGTTCTGCAAGCTCTCTGGATGGTCCCAAGCAGCTCAGCCTTTGGTGAGTAACACACAGGTCTTCACTCATGCCAGCATTATATGATTTGTGACTTACCTTCAGGGTTTTAAGCTTAAAGGCTTTTGTTTTCACATAACTAAGTTTTGTCCATATCTAGATACATTTATATAGTAGGGAAAATATCACACAGCCATTAAAACATGATTTATTAATGTGATTTTTTTTTTGAGACAGTGTCACTCTGTTGCCCAGGCTGGAGTGTGATGGCATGATCTCAGTTCACTGCAACCCCCACCTCCTGGGTTCAAGTGGTCCTCCTGCCTCGGCCTCCCAAGTAGCTGGGACTACAGGCATGCACCACCACAACCGGCTAATTTTTGTACTTTTTGTGGAGACAGGGTTGCACCAGGTTGCCCAACAGGTCTCAAACTCTTAGGCTCAAGTGATCTGCCTACCTCGGTCTCCCAAAGTGCTGGGATTACAGGCATGAGCCACTGTACCTGGCCAATGACATCAAATATTTATAGTATACTGGTAACTGGAAAAAAAAAAAGTTCACCAAGCTGTCCTATAGTATGAATCCATATACACATAAAATAAGGATGTATATCACTACAGAACCTCTAGCAGTAGTTGTTCTTTTGGAGTGAAGGAGTTACATGAGGCATTTTTTTTTCTTCTCTAAGTTTTCTGTATTTTTTAAAGATTTTCACAATGAATATATAATGCTTTCATAACAACATAATGTTGGATGGAAATAATGAAAAGAAGGGAAGAGAAAAAACAGATCACACCACCTCTTTGTCTCAGAAGAATACACAAGCAAACACTGAATGTGTAATCATCTCTTAAATTTACCACTTGAATGTTAACCTTCTCTCATTTCCACTTATTTGACTTTGGTCACAGCAGGAAGCCTGCCAAAAAAGTATTTGGGGTGGGGAGCACAGAAAATCAAAAGCTAAAAATAAAAGATTCAGCAAGAAGTTGTTTTACACTAATAGCACAGGAGGGGGATGCCATGAAGCATTCTTTTTGAACACAGCTTAATGGTTTCTACTTTTAAAAAAATTGATCATCCAGATTTCTTATTTTCATATCTTCAACTTGTCAACTTACATCTAACATGAATAATGCACTAAAGTTGAAAACATTTGTTCTTGTTACCCTCTAGCTTTGAAAGAAAAAAGCGGACAAATTCCCTGTAGAAATAGGATTAATGGCATATGGTAATTACACTATTAGGTTGAAATATCCATACCAGCATAAACCTCCATTAAACACATTTCTCAAGAGGCACTTTTATTAAAGATAAATTCAGTCATTTTAAACTCACAAATAGAAAGCTATGTATCAAAATCCTTTTTCATTTAATCAGATTGTCTGAGTCACTCATTCCACCATTCCTGGCTGAGAAACATTTCAAATAAAGATAGGAAGAAAGGTTATACCCCAGGCAAGAGACAATATATTTGCAGGTGCAATATCTGAAGCTGTGAATTAAAAAAAAAAAAAGTCAAGGCAACAAAAAGAATGTATGCTTTCTATTTGCATGCTGCAAATTCTTGGTCAGCTGTGGCTCATTACCCACCAACTTCCCAAGCTCCCATGTCTCCCATTCTTCCAAATAATGAGGAGGCAAGGAAGAGAGGGACATGGGGGATGCTTAAAGAGGGATAATGAAAAATGATGGAACAACAAGAAATGCAACAAACAAAAAGAGCTCTTGTTCTTCCATTAGAGTTATTTTATACCACCTATCATCAGGTGTCTGAATATACCTATATGCTTATGTTATTTTTGTTTCAATTTCATTTTTAACTGCCTTGTTTTCTATTGGGCTTAATTTTGTGATCAATTCAACAACTATTCTAGAAATAGGTAGGTATAAGTCCTAAGTAAATAACAACAAAAAAAAATCATTCACTCAAATTATAGCATTTCAAATTATAATACAATAAAAGCAATAAATTGCTTTCTGTGCTATTTCTGTCAACAAACAGCAAACAGTTCTCTAAAAATGGCATATAATACAAAGCAATTGTATCTAATAAATTATGATTTTATTAGAAAACAAGTACAGATGTGCCTCACTTTCTCAACGATAGCAAAATATGAATAGAAACTGAGTTTGTGTTAATCGTACTTCCTTCATGGATCTTTTTATAAAGAAAATAACCTGTGTTGCAAGTACTGGGTTCCATTCTGCTTATTTTAAAGGGAAAGAGAATTGCCATGTATTAAAAGCCTACCATAACATCCAGCAATGTGTTGAGCATTTTCACAGTGTTTAGCATTTAATTCTCACAGCCATTTCACAGATAAGAAAATTGAAGCACAAAAAGACTGAATTCTCCCATGTCATTTAGCAGTGAATGATGAGGCTGAAACTCAAATTCAGTTCTCTTCTATTTCAAAAGACACGTTTTTCTAATGTACACAACACCCTGGAATACCTATATTAGTGGCAGCCATGTCATAAAACATTTACCCAGCCAGACACACAGGTAAGAGGCCATGAATCTTAGTCTAAGGATAAACTTGGGGAAAATGGGTTGGTAGACTAAGATCAGCCATGAAAATTACACTCAAAAACAGACAAACTGCAACAATAATCATTTATGAAATGTGAAGATTTTGATCATTTAAAGGAGTCTTAATACTATAAGATTACTTCATGTATTTCCCCAACAATTCTGGGAAGCGGTAAGACAGGTATTATCACCACCCTTACCTTGTAGCTAAGGAAACTGAGGCATACCGCAACTAAACAACTTATTCAAGTAAGACTATAGGTGACAAACTAGAAGTCAGAATCAAAGTTTCTTAATGTACTGTCCAGCACTATTTCTCCTGTGTTATGCAGCATTGGGGAAATAATTTTTAACAAAATAAAACTCCTGATAGCTTGAAGAGGTGTCAAGCATTCCCTGTAGCCCATACTTTAAGCAGATGTTATATCACAGTGGAAACACAGGCTTTTTTCAACCCATCCTATTTCAGTCAAGTCAAATTGCTGTCTTCATAACAGCTCAAAACCATATTCACTTTCTTGAAGAAAACCTTAAGTAAATTTTTTTTTGAGAAAACATACACAGCCAAAAAGGTTTTTGTCACTCCTCCTTCTGACCCCCTTCAGTTCCCTCGGATCCCTGCTTTGAAATAAAATAAATAAGTGGAAGAACTGACCATAAAGAATGAGATCAAAAAACAAAAGAATGACTCCTCTGCAAGAGTTCTTCAAGTTTGGCATAAAAAGAAGCTCTGAGAAGGCAGAATTGACTACTTAGAGAAAGTATTATACACAAATTTCTATTCCAATAAATAGTGATGTTTTTCAAAGTAGTCTTTTTTAAACAAATTCTTAGCTCTACTTGAGAAAAGTATCAAGCACCATCTGAAGAAGAAAACGTTTTGGAAGAATATGCTTGCATCATAACCCTAGAAAATACTATGTCCTAATGTATGGATATTTAGATACTGACTACTGGTATTTAATTTTAATTGGGAACCTATGTGAACTGAAAACATGGACAAATAGTGAGACCCACCCCTTATGTCACCCCTGCCAAGAATGCCTTCCCCACACATACCAAACCAAATTAGAAGATCCCTGCTCTTCTCCCATCTTTTTCTTTTTCTTCTTGCCACTTAGCACAATTTATAATTGGGCATATAAATGTGTGATGTCTTGTTTCCCCCATTATATTGCAAACTCTGTCTATTTCGCCACTATAGACCTACTGGCTAGCATAATGCCTTGGAAAAATAGTAGGTATTCAGTAAATAATTACTGAATGATATTAAATGGATAAATGAGGACTTGTGGATTCCAAGTGATGGGTGCAGCTTCCCATTAGATCTCTCCTGTTCTCTGGCAATTTCTCCAACCCTTGGGTGAAGAAAGTGTTTCTTTAGGTATGGTACAGGATGGTCAATCAGCTTGTGGACATAGGCAAAATACCATAACCACAAAAGCTTACAGTGAGTATGTGGACGTGGTATGTGTCTGTACGAACTTCAGGCTGCCTAAACCAAAAGGCAGAGAAATACTGGCTGCCTGAGCAACTCTTATTTATTTCAAATGTTTGTCTCCTACTGTCTTAATTATTGTCATTTATCCATTTAGTTAGAGGGCCATGTAACAGAACCTCTCAGCTTAGAAATGCATTTTAAAACCTTTTTTCCCCTGTCTAGAACTGTAGTCTTAAAATGTACCTTGAAATTCTCTGTTTCCCTCCCTTTCCCACTCCCTGGCAGTCTGCACTTATCTAACCATATTCTTGTTTAGAAATTCAAGGGCTAATCTTTAAATGACCAGGCATGAAGATTTAGATATAAAATTCTCCCCCACTTGGCGATTACCTCAAGGCAGTGAATCTACAACCCAGCCACAACCAAAATGGCACCAGCTCACACTACAGGTGTACAGTAACTGGAGAAGACGGCCATCAGAAAGTGACATGCAGACCTGCAGCATGCGACACTTCCACGTGTATCCCACACCAAGCTTCCTTCTTAAACCCCTTCACTGCCTAAAAATTTGAGATGGTTCCTCTGAGGCTCCAGCCTGGTCATTTCCTCAACTGTTGGTATTTGAATAAAACTGCCTTCCTTGCACCACATCTCACCTATCATTTATTGGGTTTTTTAGGTGGGGAGCAGCCGAACCTGAATTTGATTACAAGCAGCACAAATTGGAAGCTGTATATTAGTAATAAACTATGAATTAACTAGACACAAAACAAAGTCACCCTGACTAGCCCACATAAATCTCTTGCAAATGTTTACTTCTTCAAGATGTACAACCACATTTTATTCTCTCTTTTGTCTCATTCAGTCATTTTACTTCTTCAGGGCAAAGGGAGTTAATTCCCTACATTTGTGTTGCACTTCACGGTTTACAAAACACTTTTTTTAAAAGGACTGATAATTAGAAATTTCAACACAGATACCAAGATATGGTCATGAAATTCCACTTTGAAGTTCCAGGCCCATGTGCACATTTGTAAAAGAAACGTTTTGCGACTTGTTCTGTGGTTCTAAAAAGCCCTAACCTACATTCAAAATGAAAGAGTCTAAAGTACGGAAGTTAAGGGAGTTTCTGAGGAAGGTTTCTTGGGAGCAGTGTCCCACTTTCTCATGTAACACAGAGGGATGAGTGATGGTGATGTGGGTGAGTCAGGAGAGAGGGGCTCCAAAAGGGCTGTTCAGGAAGCCTGGCATGTGCCCCTGGAGTTAGGAGGGGATATATGTGTGGCTTCTGCATGAAAAAGCTAGAAGAGCAGGAGCTGCAAGAGAGGTGGAAGGTGGTGGGGACTGTGCTAGACTGGCCTGCACTCCCAGTGCTTGTCTGGGAGTGTTCCCTGTGGACAGATGCGAGCCACAAGAGGGAGAGAGCTGGCCTGAAGTTGCTTAGATCCTGCCAGAGGACTGTCTGGAGCAGTGAAAGTATCTCACAACGGAGCATTTAGAGAACAGATTGCTGAAAACCAGGATATGGGGAAAATCCACTGACTGCACTACAAGTAAATAAAATGAAGAAGGTAGGCATGGCAGAAACTCACAGTGACCAAAAGAAAGAGCCAGCTTTAAACATTTACCAGACACTGAAGCATGAAGCCATGTGTCACTATCAGCCAAGTAAGCACTTTCCTGCCCCATCCCTTTTCCTCTCCTTCTTTTCCTTCCTTTTCCAGCTTAGATCCTGGCAGGATCAGGAACTGTCAAGTGGAAACTTAAGGTAGACAGAGTTTTTGTCAAAAGTCTTAACTGGGGAGGGGAAACTGGGAGAAGATTTAACTCAAATCAACTTTGAAGTTTTGATTACCTCATGGAATTGGCCATTCTACTCTACCAAAAGTCACTGTTGTAAAGTATATTATTTAAAATTAACAGAAAAATCATAGGACCATCCAAGTTTTCATTTTGGGGTAGGGAGGAGCTTCCTCTACTGAAAACACTCTAATTGGAAAATAGGAAACAAAATAAAGATGCTTTCTGATTAGACCCCATGAATCTTGTTTTTTTCAATTCACTGGTTACTAGATGAGTTGAAACTCTTTCAGTCAGCAAATCATAGAAACCTGACAAGCTACCTTAACCCCTAAAAGGGAATTTTGAGGTTAAAAACAAAACAAAAAACTGCTGTAAACATAGAAGTTAGGTTTGCCTCAAAGAAAACTAAATCAGAAACTTAGACCCCATCTGCCTTGCATCTCTGCCTTAGATCTGCTTGTCTTCATCAATTTGTGCTGCTATAACAAAATAGTAGAGAGTAAGCATTTTATAAAGCAAATTTATTTTCTCACAGCTCTGGAAGCTGGGAGGTCTAAGATCAAGGTATTGGCAACTTTAGTCTCTGGTGAAGGCCTGTTCTCATAGATGGTACTATCTAGGTATCGTTACATGATAGGAAGAAAGAAGGACAAGAAGACCTAGCTAGTTCCCTCAGCCCTTTTATAAAGTCACTACTACCATTCTTGAGGGCTCTGGCCTCATGACTTAATCACTTCCTAAAGGAAGTGCATAATACTGTGCCTGGGGAATTAAGTTTCAACACAAACTTTGGAGAGTACATAAACATGCAAACATAGCACTGATAATTTTTGTATGTTATCATTATTCTCTCTAACAGGGGGAGTTGGAAGCTAACAATTGGCTACCAGTAGCTCCAAATGCTGATCCTTACAGCAATGTCATACTAGGGAAAAAGGCTTGCCAGGTTGGCACTGAAGAATCCCTCAGGAAGACTCTAGTTGGCCCTGTATCAATCATGTTCCCACCTCCTGAGACAATCACTGTGTTGAGATGAGGTGAGGTACCAGGCCATAGGCCCTGTGGTCAGGATGGGTGTGTAGTCTGTTATTTGAAGTGAATAAGGGTGCTAGGCAGATTAAATACTTGAACCCCACAATTTTATATCCATTATCTCATTTTATCCTTACTTTAGAAGGGAAAAACTAAGGAACATACCAAGATCATATAAAAAAGCAAGAATTTAGCTGCCTATGGAACCCAGATCATCTAACTATAAATCTGGTATCCTTTCCAGTACCCTAAATCCCTCCTTTAAAATATTTTCTAGAGCAAACAGATCTAATTTGTTTGTTATCTCCCAACAGGAAACTACATTAAGTGACTTCCAATGTCATTTACCTCTAACATTGTAAAATAGGTCACTAACTGGTTTAGTCCAGACTTTGTGGTATGAGCTGGAGTCATTCATTCTCTATTTAATTAATTCATTCAGTACACATTTACTGGGTACTTACTATACACTATGTGTTAGATACTCTTCTCTTGCTATTATTGCTCATCTAAAAGCCCTAATACTAAACAAAGCCACTAAAACCACATAGCAACTGCCGGACCAAAAACAGAATAATTAGTATGATAAATTTATATAGTCACTGCTTAAAAGTAGCCATTAGTGACAAGTTTCATTTGATCAGCTACTGGAGGAACAGAGGCAAATAGCTTTTCTTATAGACATGTTGACCACTAACATGCATGTATGTGCACACACACACACACACACACACACACACACAGGGAAATGATAGATCTCATGAAACTGGTAAGTTTTTCGTGGTATGAAAATCACTTAATATGTAACAGTTTCACTACCAATGAGTATAAACCTCTAGTTTAAAAAGAAAATTCATCAGCATCAGACTACAGACACAGCTATAAAGTAAAGGAATTAAAAATATTACATAGGGGTTTTTTTAGACCTTAAATGTTGTTCAAAAGTTCCTCTATGTTATCATTTTATGATTGCTCCCTATTTTAAAAATATCCACAGCATGTTTTAAACATCCATCATATCACACCAGACAACTTCAAAGACACTACTGGAAATTACTTTGCTTTTCCAGCTATACTTTCTTGAAAGAGCTTCTGGTTAGAAAAGATAACATAGCCCAACTTTGATTCTGAGCCTTTGTTGATATTGGTGTATTAAAGTAACACAGGTTAGGGTTTTCTATCTTTGGTCATGGGATGTTCCTTGTACATACATCTGGCAAAGGTGAAGGTGCAGAAAAAGGCCTCCTATCCCATTGCCTTTAAGAGCATCTATTTGCACAGTATTAACACATTTGCCTTAGGTAGAAAATCTAACTACTCTGACTTTCTTGATTCATCTGCAAAACAGAAATAATACATGCTGTGAGGCATTGAGTATCAATATTTTTTTACAGGACTAAACAAGCTCCTTGGAATATACTTGAAATGAAACAAGCCCAACTGCCTTGCCTCTTAAAGAAGTTCCTTTATCAATGCATGTTCTACATATCCAATAACCCAAGCAAGTCAGGAGAGCTCAGAAGAATGCTGTCAAAATGACCATCTATTCTGGGTCAGAATGCAGTCCTGTGGCTTAGTACCTTGACTTTGTACCCACCACCCACAGCCACCACTGGCATAGCATATTCATAGCAGAGCCAAGAAAAGAAATTTCTCACATTGAGACAAATATCCCCCTACTTAATCAGAAGGAGCCATAGTCAGCACAGCTAGCAGAATTCTTTTGCTCCAAAGTCAATTCAATGTGAACTTTTGTTACCCTGGAACATATTCAGCATGGGGTAGCCATTAAGGGGGGAGGTTCTAAGAAGTCCTTGGCTTCAAAAAGCTTAAACTCTTGATGTACAGACTGCCTTATCAAAATGAAGCAAAAGAGCAATCATACAGTGGAAAGAGATCTGAATTAGGGGTTCTGGTTCCAGGTTTACTATTTATTAGCCTTCATATCAAACACGGCAGTCTTCTCACTGTAGTCATATTCAAACAAGTACCTAGATACAGAGTCTGTAAACTGCAGTTCCTACATTCTAAAATTCTAATCAAGTATCAAAATATTTTTGATGCTTGATTAGAATTTTAGAATGTAGTCCCTTAATGGGACAACCTATTAAGGCTGAGAAATCATTAAGAGAGGGTGCTGCTAAAGTCCTCCAGAAAGAAAGGGTTTCAAATGAATTGCATTATGAATCCACAGAGAAAAAGAAACCAGGGGAAAGGGACAAAGGGGCAGGTAGGTATATGGGCAGGTAGGTATATGACTAGACTTTTTGGCTGTATTTATATAGGTGGCTGAAGGAGACCCTCTGCGAGGACCCCAGTCTCAAAGTTCCTAGATACAAGATCCACCTCTCTCATTTGGCTACCCTCAATGCTGCCTCTACTCCTTCTATCAATAGTATTCCTTGGTATTAGAATTCTGAATCCAGAGATTTGTGGCTGTGAGATTAGCTTGTATTACAGCTACAATGGGTAATCATCCACCACCATCAACTCTCTCAAGAAGATCCTTTAAAGAGTATCAGCACCCTATAAGAGTGCAATAAGGAGAACTAGAAAGAAGAGGTTTCTGTTCTTTCTCTGGCCCTATCCCTAACTAATTCTTCAAATCTGGACCAGTCACTTACTCTTTAATAGACTTCATTTTCCTCCTCCAAAATACGTCTTACTTATACCACTGATTTCAACTGAGGCTTTCATGTATCTCTTACACATGAGATAATAGGTATAAACCATAAGGCCTTCTCAAAACATATGACAGAGTTATTTTCATCCTTATTATGATTTGTTGAGATAACAAATTAAGAGTTGGTATTCTACTTCCAGTAATGGCGGGTTAGTTTACAGCAAACGGCCTCCTGGAAACACAAAGACTCACTAAACACTTTACAACTAGTGCAAAAATCCAAGACTAGAAATTTTGTTAATAGCAATCACATTAGAACAATATACCAAACTCAATTGAATTGATGTTTTGATCACCTAAATGGCTAACATCAAGTAAAACTACATTTCATTTCCATCTATTTACTCTGTAACATACCATGCTAAATAAATAAAAAACCTCTCAAAAACTCATGATTCCCATTTCCAAAACTCACTGGCAGTAGAAATTTGAATGAGAAGTTCAATTCTGCGCATGTAAATGTGACACTTACAAATAGGGGTTTTAGTGATTGGTAAATCAGAGTTGTAGAGCAGTGGCTGTTATAAAGGGTCATGACCATTTCTTGTTTGATAATAACAGGCAGTTTCCATATTTATAATTCTAGAAGCTGATTTCAATGATTAGGAATAGCTTCTTGATTTTCTGCTTTTTACAATTTGAATTTGTTTGGTTACATGCAGTTTATTCTGAAAGGGAATATAAAACAAATGGAAGAGTCGTTTTACATATTTTTGCTAAGCTAGGCAGAAGTAAACCTCTAGCATGTTTATAATGAGGTTTTATGTCAATAAAGAGCTGACAAAAGGACAACATACCAGAAAGGAAATTATTTCCTATCATTAGATATAAGTCAGAATTTACTTTGTAATTTCAGGTTCACTTTTCGAAAACACTGTAACTGACCTATCTCTGTCCTATATGGAGAAGAATACCCTATTATACAAGTGCTCCCTTTACTCTAGACTTTCTCTTTGACAGGCATCAGGTACTGTATATTACATTTAGCTTCAGGAGGGCATATGCCAGTATCTCTATCAAGCTTTGAAACAGCAAATGTTTTTCAGGCACCAACTATGCTAAGGATGCTGTATTTTTGTAACACCTAGGCTGGATGGCTTATTAAACTATTTTATATTGTCTTAGAGAACAATGGTAGGTAAGTACTGACTTCCACATTTGGAAGTTTTCCCATTGATTATTAGGCTAGATTCAGCTAGCTAGATTTGATTCTTTCTTCTTATTACAGAACCTGCCAAAATTAGGAATGGCTTCCTTTCTTGGCTAGATCTTTTGATTCTGGAAGTTTCAGAAAAAGAGACAGAGAACAGCTAAAGGTTTTTAATGTCCCTGTCCAATACAATATTTAGCTATTAACCACACTGCTTCCGACCCTCTCCAAAAGATAGGATTCTTCGATGTATCCAAAATGTCTAGGCTTCAAGCTGGTATAGCTGGGTTTTGCTCACAGCCCATAGCCAAGCTCTGTGGGAGCAACTGATTGATGGTTCCAGAAAGGATAATTATTTCCCTGGAGTAGAGATTGTGGCTCAATGGCAACATCCAATCGTACCCTCTTTCATCATTTTACCTCTTTTCTATAACAAACAGAAACAAGTGAATATAATTTCTGATGTAAACAGATTCTTAACAGGACATTTGTTACACCTGTTTTTGTTTGTTTGTTTTTGCTAAATTAGCTCATCTTCTCAAAAGGGGGCATGCAGATGATGGTTTCACTTGCCTAAAAATAGCAGATAATAGACAGAAGTTAATTCCATCTGCTTCCCCAGAGAAGAAAAATAAAAAACATCTTGAGAAGGTATCAAGGGTCCCAGAGCCCAAGAAGAGGATTGTCCTGGGCCTTTATTACTCTTAAAGCTTCAAATGCACCCCCACATGCTTTGCTGAAAATACTATTTTGCTGAGCAGAGAATCATTCTTGGGGCATATCAAATGCAGTAGCATCATACACTGTCTGAACTTCCAACCCAGCCTCACTGCTCATTTAAAAGCAAGGGATGACTGAAGACGAAACTGATATTTTCTTATGGTTAATTTAATATTCTGGACTTTTAATATTCTGGACACCATTTCAATATTCTTTGATGTGATTTGAGAGCAGTGGTGCAAAGAATAAAGCTATTTCCCAAGTGTTGCCATGGGTTGAGCCCATTTAAGAAACCAGTTGCATATGCCATTCGATGGCCTAAAGCTTGCTAAAATAAGGCCATATTTTCTAAGTTATCTTGAGTGACTAGAACGACTTCTAAAGCCCTTTCTTAAGGATCAGGAAATAACACATATGGTTTTTATGAAGCTCTTCAGAACAATAAAATATTAATTCAAAAAGTACCTTCAAATGGAAATAAGGCAAGAATTAGATGAACTGGTTTCTACAGCATGTGACTCATTCCAATTTCCTTACTGGCTTAAACAGGAGCTGCCCAAAGTCTCATGATCAAGCTTTACTATGATATCTATAGTGAGATCCTAAAAAGTAGAGTAGTTTCATTTAAAAATAAGACTCAATGCCTGTTTTGAAATAATCTGAGAAAACAACTATAAAATGGGTTCTACTAGCACCATCCAGATCTCCTGGAATCTGGCCAGCAGGAATCTAACCAGCATCCAGATGGGAATTTCTGGTCATTAGTAACCTCTATATACTGAGAAATAGCCCTGAATTACTTGATATTTGGTGGTTTCCCTAATTGGTGATGAGAAGAAGTGCCCTGGCTCTCTACAACTCTAGGTCTTATACCAACTGAAATCCCTCTTCATAAGTAAATTTAGTTAACTGAATTTTTAACTGCCTTCCTCGAATGCGGTTGTGTCTTTTATGCCTCAGAAGTTTAGAAAGTTAAGTGTAAGTATATAAATATTTTTAAGAATAAAATAATTCTTCTTCAGAAATCTATCTATTTTGGTATTTTATATATTTGGAACATGTGAGAAGATTTGAGGATCATTGTATTTATAGATTTGATTTATTAAGATGTGAAATTATTATTTACTATCTAGTGACATTTTAAATAACACAATTTAAGTTTTTAAAAAGAAATGCATATATTAAATTAATAAGGACAGTTTAGATGTTTAATCAATTTTGTAAATGAGACCAAACGTTATTCAAAGGCCCTTTAAAATTATTACTACTCTCTGTCAGACTTATACTTAAAAAAGAAGAAACTAGAGTTGGAAGCTGGACTGAAAAGCCTCAAGAAGAACCAGGCTTTTCAACTTGCAGTTTTAAAAAAGTAAATGCCAGTTTTTAAAATCAAAATTAAACCTTATTAATAGTCATTTTGTCATATACAAAAATCACCCCGGACAACATAAAAAGTCTCATATCACTCACTAGCTGTGTCTTCACCACCCTAATATTCAGCCTGCTGATTGGCCAGTCCCCACAGCTGGCCGTAATGCTGAAGTGTCATCTAGTGATAGGGTAACTGCAGGCTCTACAGTTATGCAGGAGGGAAGATTAAATACCAATTTTTTGCTCTGTTTTCTGTTATTCTTTACAGGAACATACTACAGTGAAAAGCAGGAATTGCCTAACTTAAATTTCAGGAATTTCAATGAGTTTTGACTGGTGAAATCTGATCAGATTTCTATGTCTTTGGCAAAGATGGAAATTAAGAGAAAAGGGTGTTGTAAATTTCTGATACCTAAAAGAACTGAATAAAAATACAAGAAAATGGTGAGATATTCACTACCGTGCTGCTGTCTCACAGTGTGGCCATCTTATAATGTAGGCCTTCTAGTTACTATATCTTCTTAGCTGCCAGGGGAACCCAGCGAGAGACAGAGAGAAGAAGAGAGACGGAGGGCGGGGGGGGGGGGAGAGAGAGAGAGAGAGAGAGAGAGAGAGAGAGAGGAACTAAATGCATATAAATGCAGTTGCTGGGTTTCAGCTTCCTCAAAGAAATATTCTTGGGAGATCGGAGACCATATACTGCATTCCTAAAAAAGAAGTCCTTCTGCGTAGGAAAAGTAAACAGGCTTTGGCAGTCTTTAGGTTTTATCCATTTAGAACTTCCAGTTGGGTCATTAAACCCCACTGTGAAAGAAAAGGCCAAGAAAGGCCCTTCCAGGGTTGAGGTACTGGGAGCCTGGGGAGGGGAAGGAGCTGGCTGGGAGTGCAGTTGGTCCCTCGATTCTTGGAGGCCTATCCCTTATTGCCACAGAGCTCCCAGAGGTGGCAGACTTCTGAGCAGGGTGGCCACAAACTGGTGTGGGCACTGGCTGGCTTCAGAGCATCCTGCCCTTGGCTGACACTATGGAGTCTGCCTGCAGAGACGAGAGCTGTGGGAAGGCACTTTTGAGAGCTCCCCACCCCCAAGGAGTGAAGTGCCATTTCAGACTTGGCAAAGTAGACAGAAGGAGCCATGGTGACCATAGTGATGGCTTAGGACCAGACGTCTGCCCATGTGCCCAGGACCCATTTAAAGCCTTGGGTGGTCCAGGGCAATACAGTGTTGTGGGGGCAAGGGCACTGGGGAAAGAAAGTTGGGGAAGGAGCCCCAATAATGTATTACATCAGATACCTCACCAGCAAGAAGGGTTCAAAAACTGATTTAAGTAATAAAAATAAAACAAAATGTTTTACTGAGCTCAGGTTTCATAGAGCAATTCACACACCTACTTGCTTATTAACTTCCCAATGCAAAACAGAAAAAAGCAGGTATATGTTGTTTTGATATAGCTTTTTCTGAAAGGAGGATATTTTTCTTCAGTCTAAAAAAACTATTAAGCTTTCTTAGCTTTTGTATATATAATCAGTAATGCAATATTTTCAACAGACGTCTTGCGCCAAGAGCCTTTTTCCATCCATGAGCCCACCAGGTACTGTAAAGCGGCATGAGGATGACACCCACGCATGCCTATCATGCCCACTGGTTATTAAGAAAAGTTTTTAAGTGTGCCTTTTTATATTTAAGACAACACTGTCAAAATGGCCACAATCACATATAGTTTTTTGGAAGAAAGCCTAGTTCTTAAGTAGCCCGACTATGATCTCAGATACATGAAAAAGTAGAAGAACATAGTTGTCCCAGAGGCCAGATGGAGAGAAAAAGGCAGAAGGAAAAACAATCTCTCAGAAAAGGCTTGTAGAGCAGTCAGGCTCCTGAATCAAAGACCCTTAAAATACCTGTCTAATCCACCTCTTCATGTATTTAGTGGGCTTCGCCAATTTATTCTAGAACTAAATAATATTAATGATTATGATTTTTGCTCATTCATATAAAAATAATTTCAAAGCCATTATCCTAGTCTGAGGAGATTTCACAAGCTTTTTCATTAACCACCCCAGTGTCTAATAACCCTTCTCTTTAATCTCTGTCTTATTCCTGGTACAGTACTTTAAACCTGGTCTCCTCTTCATTTGTATGTATCATTGTACTTCCTAATATAATAACTTGAACATGGCATTTTGAACTTTAATGCTATTGCTTAATGTTATTTACTGCCATCTAATTTTTTAATCATTAGCAAACTTGTCAGTAATGAGCTTTTTCCCTTTTCTGGATTTAAATTATTCCAGGCCAGGGTATTTTATTAGTTACTAGATCCATGAAACAACATGCTTCTGATGGTTCTCTGTCAGCCAAATCATTTTCAAAAATATCTTTTTAAATTATAGAAATATAGCATATTCAGTTTTTCAATTTTCTATGGATATTTCTATATCAAATAAGAACTCTTAAGGAAAAACACAATCCATAACTTCTTTATTATGTTAGAATATTTATACATAGTTTCATTTATCAGACTCAGTTTTGTTTTTCACAACTTAAAGACATTTAACTGAAAGACACCTTACTCTAAACTCTTATCCACTGTGATGGTTTGTAATAGAAATTTCCAAACAGATTTTAGAGTGCAAATTTTCCA